TAGTTAGTAAAGCTTTGCTGCGTCCACACACATCTGCGATCAATCCCTTCTTTCATTTTATGATTTATTTTCCTATGCAGGAAAACGGTTCTGTGCTCCATCACCAAGTTTTACAGATCTTCAGTAAATTACTAATAGTACATTTTTCACACTGAAATACCAAAATAGGTCTGATACAAATTCCAAATATAGTAGTTAAACTAAAAACTGCAATATAGCTAAAAAAAAGAAAAAAATGCATTGAATAATTTCATTTTAAACATGAATCCTTGTCCTGAATATTGTGTTGATTCACATGGCAGCTAACACTCTGACAAACACATGAGCTGCTTTTACTGGAACATTCAATATTGATGGAAAACTTAACTGCCTCATTGCACATAATGACTGCACAGGTTTACAGTCATGGTTAGTCAATGATACTTTATTGCATGTGGGCCAAGTTAGAAGGCTCCCCAGAGTGGGAGGGTTAACCATCTTATGTTCTTACATCAACACTGCTGCCATATATACACATCTATGCATCAACTTTGGAATATGGAGCAATCCATTTCCTCACACAACCCACTTCTTTAATCGAGAGAAGTTCCCTATAAAATTAACATAATCTTAATGTAAATAAAAAAGGAAAAATGTAAAAGAGAAAACCCAAACCAACCAAAGAACAGAGGATGCACTCCATACATGCTTTACAGGAAAGTGATGCTGACAAGCAGAACTGATCTGCTTTCTGATTAAATCATCAGACTAGAAACATGGATGATAGCAGCTGTACTGTTGGGGCATTCCTGTAAGGGATGGAAGGATTAACTAACTTCTAGCAGTTTCTCCGTCTGAACTGGTTGTAGAGAAAACCTACTTCTATAATCCAGAAACAGGACTGAAAATGTATAGCAGCAGAGATCAGACAGTTTCTGGACAAAATCCGTATGCAGCAGCTTCAAATTATTTTTTCTGGTATAATCTAGAAACTCAGTTGGTAGCACTGTTGCCTTGCAGCAAGAAGGTCCTGGGTTCGAATCCCAGCCTGGGGTCATTCTGAAATGTTTGTTCTGTCTGGGTACTCTGGTTTCCTCCCACAGTCTAAGAGCATTAAGTGTTTTTGACTAATCAGGTCAAAAGATGTCTCCTTAGATGTTAGTGCATGATTATTTGTCCTGTCTGTCCCTGTGATGGACTGGTGACCTGTCCAGGTTGACCCCACCTCTCAGCCATTGGCCACTGGAGAAAGGGACAGGCTCTCCAAGCAACCCCATTAGGGACAAGATAATGGCTGGATGGTCTAATGTACAGATTTCACACTTTTAGATCTAAAAGCCAGCAGGAACAGGAAGTGCTTAGAAAGAGGGGACAATTCAATTGCACAGTAAGGCTTTGCATTTAAAGGCGGAGATGAAATAAACCATGATGTGCAATTCTTATCTACAAAATAATCCAGAGCAAACCTGGAATATGAACACAGATTCAGTGATACAGAAAATGACTGAGATGTGTGGAATATAGTTTCAATAAACTGAACTTAGAGAAAATTTGTTCAGTAAAAATAGGTTCACATTTCTTTATAAATGATCATTTATTTAGTTATTTTGCTTTACTTTTAATATTTTAATGTTTTTTAAATTTATTTCAAGATAATGTGAAATGGCGCTAAATTTATTGTGTGTGTGTAAAAATCTAATATTCAACATTTATATAGATACTTTGTTATTTTAACAGACTTACAAATTCATTCTTCTTCAAGAAAAACAGTGTTTTTCCAAACTCAGCCATTTAAATAATCATGATTTCAACATAGAGGAAAATAATCCTGATAAAACATGTCTGCAACTCAACAGCCCTGATATGTATCTGACTTTTGCTGCTAACTCGTCATGACTTGTGTGTTTGTGTTGGAATCCAGAAACTGACTCACTCTTTTTTTCACCTAATTTAACTGTATTTAATTCAGGATTGTAGGATTGTTGCTGTGTTGTTACACGTCACAGACGTGGATCCAGGTGTGAATACGCAACAGAACATTATCCACTCCATTTTCAAATGTCTGCTTAGTGACTGCTGACCACGATGCAGGTCAGCCCCAGTCCCACTCTGATACTTCATAACAATTCATTCAATTGGTGAAAGGCTAACAACGGAGAGCTCAGTAGGGTCAAATGTCATCAGCATTAGCAATACGTTGGTATTGTGATTATATACCACTGAACTCACACTCCAACTTATTTTGTGAAATTGATTTTAAATTGAGGGAAGTTTCTATATATTTAATATGCAACTTAACAAAATTATCCATAAATGGGCCTGACTCCGACAACTACATGGCAAATTTATTGATTTTTAAAATCCTTGGTGTTAAAATGCGGCAACCAGCTCAGGCTTAAAGATAATTCAAAACTCCAGCAAATAAAGGATATTAATAAACCTAGAGATGTATTTAAATAAGCATCTGATTGAAACACGAAGGCACTTTACAGGTTTCTAGAAGCTCATCAGAGCTCATGACATTTTTCAGGCTGAAATGGTCGAACTCTGATTCTGGGACGTTCTCAGATTGTTTAATCAAACTGAGGTATTAAGGATTTCAGATCCCAACCTCTCCATAAAAAAAGTCCTGGCGGCTTTAGGAAAGCAGTGCATTTCCACTGCATGCAGCAGATTGTTACACCAATTATTATCAAGAACTAGAATAACAGAACTCAGATCACTCCTCATGTGTTAAATAGAAACGCTTTTCCATGTAAAGACACTTTGACATGCAGACAAGTGGGCATCTCACCTACTCCCACACACACACACAACACACACACACACACACACCCACACACACACACACACACACACACACACACACACACACACACACACACACACACACACACACACACACACACACACATGAAAGCCACAATTCCAGCCTCCAGGCTGTATTTGTGAAGCAGATCCTGAGGAATGTGATAAGGAGGAACACAACAAGCTGGAGCAGCGTCTGATTCCAGCAGATCTGAGTCGGTCTCCAGAGAAACAGAACCCACTGGAAGCTCAGCTGCTGCTGATTGTGTTGACAGGACAGGGCAGGTCAGCCGGAAATAGCCAGTCCAGTTTCCAGCACAGAGCCTCAGTAAAATGGCCTGACTGCTCCTTTAATATCCAGCAGGCTGTGCAGCAGCAGCAGCAGCAGCAGCAGTTAGCTGCTCAGGCTGACTGTTAGCCTGGCACAGGGCTGCAGGGCAAAATGCCTCTGCATTACAACACTAGTGCGTTATAACATATTCGTAATTTTTTTGCTGTTATTCAGTAAAGAAGCAGCCCAGTATGAGTCCTACTGAGTGGCCGCTGCAGGGAGGTGCAGCAGGGTGTGTGATGAAGCTGTCAGCTGCTCAGCCTCAAGCCTCTCTGCCTTTGTGGACTCAGTGAGAGGCAGTGGAGGTGGAAGGCTGGCGTGCATGTCGAGCCTCCGGGCTCAGATACTTACAGGAACAGACATCTTGCGCTGCTGTCACTCTTCTCTTTAAAACGCCCGCTGTGTTGGTTCCTCCGCCGCTACTTTTATCTGACAAAAGGAGGCAGACAGCCTGCGGTTCAGTCCTCCGAGTGGCCCATCGTGAAGTGTCCGGAAGACAGGCTCCCCTGCAGCAGGAACACGTCAAGATGCGCTGGGGTTGGGAGTGAGCGCTGGAAATGTGCGCAGCCACGGCTTGGATATGCGGCAGCGCCGACGCAGAGCCGGCGCTCTCTCTCCTCTGTCCGGTCTCCCTGCACCGCCCTGCCGTTTGTCCCGGAGTGCTTCAGCTCGCCATGCAGCCGTTTAGGGGGGGAAATGGAATATGACGCAGCCGGGTTTGCTGAGGTTAGATGCGCAGTGTTCTGTTTGCGGATGAGAGCGCGCTGCGCTGCGTGCTGCTGTCCGCTCCTCCACAGAGACGATCCGGTCCAGCCTTAAAGGGGCCGAGCAATCTACGGCAGATACGGACAACACAGGACCTGACACCGCTAATAATAATCATACATCATTAGCGGTGTCAAACGTTTTGGTAGTTATTTTTTTGAACTCTATTTGGTAAAGTTTAACATTTGTTGGATTCTTAAACCGTCACGTTTACTGTACGCAGGGCCGTGCAGAGACCTTTGAAGGGGCGGGGGCTCAAAGTTAAAAAAGGGCACATTGAACAAGACCTTAAAACACCGCACAACAACAAAGCAACAACCCATATAAATCAAGAATTTGATTGGATCCTACTATATCATTGCATTGTCCCCATCATGCAGGGACAATGCTAAGCAGGGATATATTTTCCCCAACAGGAATAATGTTGCTGTTTCTGCTGCTGACAGTCCTGGAGGGCTGAGTTGATCTCAGACTGTAGCTGTTAAACAGACCAGAGGAGAAAAGGTCAAAGGTTATGAAGTTATGAAATAAACAAATTTGCTGCCATTAATTAAACCCTTATAAAACAACTTGGCTGCAGACTGATTTATAGATAAAAAAGCTCAAAGGGGTTAACTCTATGTAATTTTTTTCTGTCATCTACCTGGAATCCACCTGAATTAATCCCAGGCTTTTAGCAGCCTGATGAAGTTAAAGTCAGAAGCAGCCGAAGCATTTCTGTGTTTATGGGCGAGGAAGGTTTCTTCCTGCTATTGCAAGGACAATAATGAAAAATATAAATAGAAACTGTTTTTTTAACGTCAATATCAGACCTACGTTTTTATTCACAAACCAGTGTATGAAAACTATTCTTCCCCATAATTTGAGGTGAAGAACAGTTTGAAGATTGAGTTGTTTTTCTGTCAGCGTAAACATGAACGTTTTGAGAAATGTCCTCAGTGATGCGTCCAGGACGGACGTACCTGTTGCTGAACAGCACAAGTAGAACATGCAGCCACAGCAGAAACTACTGGATGTGTGTTCAACATAAATTAGTTTAGATCATGAATGTGTGAAAATATAAAATATGTGGCAAAATCCATAATTACATAGCAGGAACTGATTCCACAGCAGCAACTTCATCAGGAAACTTTACTGTAGTTTAATAAGCTTGTCTAAGAAATTCAGCTCCTCAACATACAACCAAAGCGCTGCAAAATAATACATCAAATTAGTACAAATAACCTGATAGAGGGATATGTTCCAACCAAACATTACTAACGTTTTGTCCATTCTTTAAATACCAAGAACTTGACGTGTTACTTAGTGAAATATACTTAAAAACAGGTAAGAGAAAGTTAAAAACTTCATCTTGAAAACCTCATCCTTATCATTTACTAGGGTATCTCAAAGAAACTATAATATTGCATAAAAATTAAATATTTCTCACCAGTTATCTCAGAAAGGGAAACTCATATTACATAGAATCACAGAGAGATATTTTCCAGGCCAAGATTTTGTTGTAATTTTGATTGGGACAGACAAGCAGGGACCAAACTGTAGACAAGGCCGGGCTGGATGACAGGATGGCGGGCAAACAGGTCAGTCGAAGGGAAAATTATCCAATGTGATTTTCTGGATGTTATTTGGATTCTGAAAACACAACGCTAAAAATACACTGGTTGTGTAACAAACTCTTTAAAACAAAAACTCTTTAAACATTTAATGTTACACAGATGTCTAACATTAAATTCAAATTATGTAAAAAAAAATAAAAACAGTTAAATAACCAAAAATAAATGTTAGACAATTTGGCAATTTTTTTATTACTATTTTAAACAATGGCAAAAATAAAACAAAACAATATAGCTGCTTAAAAAGCCCTTTTCACAGTCTTCTGGAAGCCCGGGTGGATGCCTTAGTGAGTTTTCCCATCCAGTGAGGAAGAACAGAGACGGAGCGCTGCTGCTCTGAGCTCCCAGGCAGACAGAACCTCCTCTGCTGGAGGCAGTGAGTGTTCAGAGGGGGACCCCCCTGGAGGAGGGGCTGGTGACCCTGCTGTCACATCCACACAGCTAATCCTCCAGTCAGTTCAGAAAAAGAAATCGGCAGTTTTGTTCAAAATAAAATTGAATTCCTTTTAAAAGTAACAGATTAACAGAATATTTACAGATTCAATGTCAAACACCACACAGACCACAAGCAGTAGCGAAGGTACAATCCTCCATAATCACATCCTAAACTTTGACTTCTGATTCTTGTGGAACATCCAGCTGCTGTTTTATATTTCCAAGTTATTAATGTGGCCTGATGAAGTTACACAAGCTAAGTTAGTGTGTAACTTATGTTTGGTGACATACAAACATAAGTTAGAAAAAGGTAAAGTTTTATTTCTGCTCTGTGATTCTTAAACAAACAGGACAGCCAGCTGTGTGCACCTGTACAGCTCAGCTGTGAAACAGAGATGTCAGTTGATCCAAAAGTGGAAATGATTGGAATGCGAGGCAGTCGCATGTCAGACTGAATCAATATTCACTCCAGAGATAATTAATTTGAAACTTGATGTGAGCTGCAGTAAAAGCAGCAAACACAAACTGGTTCTCACAAGGATGAACCCCCAGAGGCATCAACACCCGTCCATTACCTGACCTCAACCTATTTATACAGCCAGCCTGAAATAGGCTCAGCCACAGAGCCAGTCACATCTCCTATTACAGGATGAACATCAACTCTGTTGGGGGGGAAACAAGTTACAGGAGTCCAAACCCCGCTCTGCTCCGCATGCCGGTCTGTTGTTCATCAGTGTCTCATCGTTTCATGTTGCTCAGCCGGACTGCTTTTTCCAGCTCAAACTGCCGGTGGTCGACGCGCTCCAGGAAGTTTTTTCGCTCCACAAAACTAAACACACAAAAAGAGAAAATTAGCCCACATCCTAACACACAGAGAGGCTCAACAACTTCTCTGAATCAAATACAAAATAAGGACAGTTCAGGCAGATGTCAGCAGAGCCTCAGAGACATGGGGACATTCAGTGTCTCAACACTAAGACACTCTGCTCTCTTACCCTTCTCTGCCTCTGTTATGGATAGCCAGCTCCTCTGTGATGCCCTCTTCTGATTTAAAAGCATCCCAGTCCATCTTTGACTTTTCCAGTGTGCTCATTTTTTGCTTCTTTCCTCCAATCCGATTAAGGATGCTGGACATGCCTGCTGGACGCTTAGCACTGCAGAAACAAAGGAGGTGAGAGCAGAGATGACTGACACTGTACACACACAGGAGAGCCGAATAGCCCTAATAGTTGAGTTTGTTTGTGGAGCTCACAGTGAGCTGACCTCACCTGACGATGATGACCTAACCTTGAATCGAAATGTCAGTCTACTTTTCACCTAAATCTGAACACAATTTAAGTTTTTACTTCTACATCTTAGAGTGTGTGTTACATCTGTGGTCAACACAGAGCTCTCAGCTGAAGTCATGCTGAGATGAAAGCTTCTGCTGTGAGAACCTGCAGATCAAAGTTAGTTCCAGTCAATCACTTTGTGAAGGAATAATAACCCATCAGAGGAGATGAGCCTTGTAATTTCATGCTTCATGACAAAGTCCTGCTTGGTTAATTACTGACAACCATTTCACAACAGTTATTTTGGCATTTTAAAATGACATCCAACCATGAGAGCTGTGCAGAAATAAACTCAGATTGTAATTTGCTGATGCTTGGTTTGCCACTGCACTAAACATAAATCTAACCCAATTACTCTCTCTTTCTTAAATCATGGTCTTCTATCTTCTTCTAATCATTTTTCAAAACCTCAGTGTTAAAAGCTGCAATGCCATCAACTGTGAACTGTTCTGCACTCCTGTTTAATGTGGATGCATCAATAGGTTTGATACTTTTCCAAAGCTGCAGCAGGAAAATAGAAATATGGAGGAAGTTTTGCAGTTTAGTTTCAAAAGAACAGATTAAATCTTCATCAAAAAGGATCCAGTTTAATGTTGACAATACTAAACGTGCTGCTGTTAATTTACAGAGCTTCACTTCTAGATTAACAAAAAGTCTCACTGCAGAACTTCTGACCTCATGACCTCTTCCCTTCTCTTCCTTTGCTAAGAGGTCTAGTTAGCTAGTTAGCTTATGTTATTCTTTAGTTTTTTATTCTGTTTTATTCCTAAGTTCGTTATAAACATGACTTTTGTTTTGTGAAATAAATGCTTTTGTTAGTATACTGTAAAGATTTCATGGACCTGATGAGCTATAATATGGCCTCCTTCAGTATAACACCATATAAATTGAGGTGGGTCAACTCCATCACAGTTTTTAACTGACAGCATGACTCTTTCAATGATAGTGTTGACAAATCTCTCTTAAATGTGCAGTTAATTCATTTTAATGTATTTTACATAAATGGCATTACTTCACATGTATCAAGTCTTTCTTTTTACTCACTAGTTTGTCACCACTGTCAGTTCTGTATCAATTCTGTCAGATGGACTTAATGTTGTTTTTTGTTTTAAAATAATATTTCTTTTGTTTTTGAGAAGCATTTGTCTATAAAACTGAATAAAAATATCTCTAATAGGGTCATTAAAAAATAATTCCATGTTTGTTTTTGTCAGATGGTGATGACAAAGTTCTAGGTCAAGTCCATTAATTATTTTTTTTTTTCTTAAATCTTACAACTGGGAGCCTGCACCTTAGCATCTTTACATTTCCATAACATTGCTTGTTTTTTTCTCCTAAGCTTGAAGAATAATTAAAAAATTTGGGGGAAAAATTTAAACTCATTTTGTCCCTCTTCTCAAGAAAAACTCAACTACCTGTAGTGTTAATATTCTCTACATATATCTATATCATCTCCCTTGGATTGTGTGAAAGAAGGCTAAACTCTAGTCCCTCCGGAGCGCTCTTCTCTTTTACCACTATCACCCCACCCATCCTTGCCCAACACACACATACACACCCATGCACACACAGATAGGAAATGGGCTGTGGACACCGTGGTTCCCTTCTGCTACAGAACTATTTCCCATTTCCTCTCTGCTGCCAGAGCTTTCTTCTCTGGAAAAAGGATGTGCACCCCCCTTCCCTTTAACACTGGAAATTAAACAAATTACAAATATGAAAAGCCTCTCAGGAAAAATAGGCAAGAACGTTCATTTAACTTTCATGCCTTTAAGCATATACAGTGTGAAAACATAGGGAAAAAGTTGGCATGTTTATGCGTCAAAATTTCATCAAAATTTATTGTGCAAACTATATGCTAACAGCATGTCTGTATCACGTAAAATATGCCTTTTTGCTAAGGTGTAACAACATCGGTTTATGTGCTGTCACTGCACTTACTCATGAGCTAATAGTGGTACTTCCATTAGGATATATGGTTTTCTTTTTGCAACTAAAGATCTATTCTTGTATGCAATGTGTCCACTAGAGGGCACACTGAGTGTTAAAACTTTACAAACTCAATGTAGAAAATGTTCTACTAAATTATTATCTTCAAACTGACAGAAAAATTTGCAATAATTAAGAGTTAGACCATTTTGTAGTTCTCTCACAAAATGTCATTCATGCTTCAAATTTCAGAAAGTGAAACTCATCAATTCATCACACATAGTGAAATAGTTTAAGTCTTTATTCCTTGACATTTTGATGGAACCCTAAAATTCAGTGCCTCAAAAATTGGAATATTACATCAGATCAATGTTGGGATCATAAATTATTGATAAATTATTGCATGAATGCAGCGTGGCATAGAGGAGACCAGCCGTTGGTTCTGCTGAGGTGTCCTCAGGCTGCTTTCACAGCTGCCTTCAGGTCGTATACATGGTTGGTTCTGGTGTTTCTTCTTTCTCTTGACATGACCCAATACACTACTTCTTCACAATATTTGAATTTTTGCAGATTAATCTCTATACAGAGTAAGATACTTGCAGGCTTCTGAGTAAATCTTTATCTCTGCTTTTAAAACTTTTTTAAAAGCCTTGTGAAGACTTTTTTTTTGAGAGACAAACTGAGGCACGCCTAGTATTTTTTAACATGCAATTGATGATTATGTATAAAGATATTTTGGTGAGGCAGAACATATTGTAAGGTGTGTGTTTACCTGGGACCAGGAAGAGATGACTGTGTGTGAGATGAGCTTGTTTCTTCATCTTGCTCCTGCTGAGCACTTTGACTCTTCAGATAACTCTTAGCTTCCCTGGAGTCAGCTGATACCTCCTTATCCACTCTAAGACACACAAATACAAATGAATATTGATTCTGCTTCTGTGTTTGGTCAGTGGAGAGCAGATAAGAAAGCTAGACCTCACTGAATCACTGAGTCTTTTTTACATAACATTCAATCATGATCAATAGGCTTCTTCAGGATGCTGACTACTTACAGCTGCAGTATTTAACTTTTATAAAAAATATTTCATTTCCACAAATTTTGAAACCATCACTATGTGATGACAGTAGATACAATGACAGAAAACATAGCTGGTCATATATCCAGAAGATATAAGTAAACATATGTAAAATTAATAAAATGGATGACAAATTTCCTCCAGCAATTCTGAGCGGCAGGACTATCTTATAAATCCAGTAAAACATCACATGATGACAGAGCAGTGATATGTCTGGGTAGACCAGAAAAAGTACCACAGATTACATTTGCTGCATGTTCCACAAATTATGTGGGTTACAGAGGCCTGAGTGGGACGGATTAGAGCAATATTACTCAATAAAGACAAAACATAAACACCATGATTAAACTTTAATATTGTGCCATGTTATTCAACAAATAAAAATGAATTTCAATAGCCACCAGAGACAAGAGAACCATCACAGAGTCAGAGATATGGAAGATACTTGGGTTTTAATAACATCAGCTGAATGTTGCTCATGTTTGTATTACAGGTTCATCTGAACCAGAACCTTGAGGTTCTAATTCTGATGGACTCAAATAAACTCACTTATTTAATTTTGTCTTATAGAAATTTATTACTGGCCCAAGCATATTGACAAAGACTCTGAGATCAGCTGATTATTTCACTATAGATATAAATATAATTATATTCTGGCACTTTATTTTTTAAAGGAGAAACCTTTTGGATTTAGGTAATGCAGCCAAAACATGGAAACCAATAGAAAAAATTTTACTTTCCAAACACAAAAAAATGTAATGCACATCACACCAAGCTAATATGATGTAGTTTTAGTCTGACCAGATATGCTAATTGAAAACAAATCTGGCCGAGACTGAATCAGTCAGAGGCAGGGTAGTGGAAAAACACCTTTATATTGTTAGAGGAAATTTTACTGAGTTTCTTCACATTATGAAGATATATATTTTTTAAAATGATGCTTAGTCCTAAGGTTGTTTTTTGTTTGTTTGTTTTTCTGCCATTCATGCTATTTATTTATTTTCTTTTTTTTTTATCATTTCTGGGTTTTAGTTGTTTAATGTTAATCATGTGTCAAATTTATCACTATCATCTGTTTGTGTTATAAAATAATTCAATAAATATAACGTCATATTCAAATATTAGCAAAAACATATTTTTAATATGTACAGTATTGATATTTTACTGTATTTTTAAGTTTAGTCCAGACAGAACTTGTGTGTGTGCAGCTCCATCTGCTGTTCATTGTGAAAATGACAGATCTCACCCGTACATACGGCGAGAACTGACAGTTGAATAAATGATGATGTTAACAATAAATAATAAATTAATAAAACAAAGACCTGTTATTTGTCTCAGAACAGCAGCAGGAGTCACACACTTACCTCACTTCCTCTCCAGCAAAGTCGAACACTTTAGTGATGGTGACTTTAGCCGGTCCTGATGGTGTGGCTTCTGTACTTAATGAAGTCTCCTTTAATAGGGAACATTCAGCCTGTAAGTGAAAACACATTCATCAAACCAGGACAAAGACATTTAAAGAGTCATAAAGTGGTGATTTCAAATAGACAAACATAACATTCTGTAGTTCACGTGGTAACATCTTGACGTTTGTAAAAACTCTGATGTCTCCCCTGGAATATATTCACCTCCTTAGTGGAATCTGATTGGCAATTGGGTGCAGAGTCTTTGGGTCTTGATCCGACATCAGACAGGAAACTCGCCCAAAGATCATCCGACTTCTTCTTCCGTTTCTCCTCATCATCACTGTCTTCCTTTGGCAGCTGAGCCTCTTCCTGCTTTAGCTCCTCTTTCCTCTTCCTATTTCAAATGATTCAGAAAATCTTCACAGTTATCATTTATTTTACTGTGAAACAAGCTCACTCATTTTTAATTAGAACAGTCACTAAAGAAATAGGTTATTTTTCACTGTGGAAGATGTTACATAATAAATTAAGTTTATTTATATGGCAGCAGCTCACCCCACCAATAATTATAGATTAGAATGATAAAGTAAACACATTGAAAGAATATAAAGCCTTATTTGATTTATTTTTAAATACAAATAATTTAATTATAAACTGTTTTTTCTCATAATCAAAGGGATATTTAAAATTGGTTCCATTTTATTGTCATATTTTTAAAACGTAGAAGATATTTCTATAATCTGTGGTCTGGATTATTATTCCTGGTTTTTGATGACCAAACCATCTCTGCACCAGAAAATTCAGAGCCTGGAACATTCAGGCCATTGATGCTGATGTGACTCTGTGCTCCGTTGTTAGGAGCCCTGACTCTCTTTCAGCCTCGTCAGTCCCAAACTGGCTCCTTCCAGCCTCACTCATACTTCATTACCACACACAACACACAACTATTGTCTGCCATAATACCGAACCACACACACACAATTATGTGACAACCATAAAGTGACAGCGGCGTCACCTGTGCAGCTCAGTCTCTGACTGCGAAAGGAAGATGTTCTTTTGATTGACCCCTGACTTTTGTGTCTCAAACTCACTTCCTGCTGATGTCTTTTCTTTTCTTCTTCTTCTGGAGGTCAGGATGAGGCACAGAGTCGTCCTCATGGAGAGGGTCTTCCTTCTCACACTCATTAATGTCATCTTCACTGAGATTATCATCTGAAAGAAAGACCAGTGGCATACAACATTTTAAAAATATGTTACTATTTGTGCACCAAAAGCAAATATTTACATAGAGTGTATCAAAAGACACACTATTTTTTCCTCTTTATCTGACTGAACGTTTCCTGTTTTGGCCTATCAAGATGATCAAAATTATTTCTGCAATTAAAAAAAAAAATGTGAATAAAGAAATAATCATTTTAAGAGGGTTATTATAGAACTTTTTGGAATTCAACATTTTACATTCAACAAGATGAGTTTCCATGAACCTCGAGGATCTGTGAGCTGAAGGACGATTTAGACACAACCTGGAGCTCACTGGTCGACTGACAGACACTGAGGCAGACTAACATTTCAACACCCACTGTGTTTAGAGCCAAAGTGAATTAGTAATGAGCCCTTGTGTGTGTGTGTGTGTGTGTGTGTGTGTGTGTGTTGGTGTTTTCTATAATGGCTCATACCGTCCGAATTGTAGTTCGTTTCTTAAACCATAGGATACATAATATTTCCCACATAAGCCACATCTACGGTAAATTGTTCAAGATTTAAATCAAATCTCATTATTAATATCATAATACTACTATTAATATATTACATCCAGACTGATGTCATCATCCTCTTTTTCAGCAGCATTATTTAACGCAAGGCACAGCCTCACCTGATGGGACATAGTCGGCATCTTCATTTGACAAATATCCGTCTGAGTCGTAGTCAGAGTAACTCATGGCGCGGAGAGGGAGGAAAACTTCAGTGAGGTGAGGATAATAAGGGGCAGCTGTGCTTCCTAACAACCTATTTTGATGTTACACGGTTTAAGAGATGCAATGTGCGCTGCGTTCAGACGTTTCCTTAAAACCCGAACAAAGACAGGATCCTTAAACACTGGCACAAACAGAAGGGTTCGTTCTTACTCGTCAACAACCATTCGCTCCCGCACACCGAGGCTTCCGGTCCGATATCGCCCAGCTCCGTAAGGAAACGACATTCTCTTAAGGAAGGTTCCGGAGCAATATGACCTAGAAGTAATTGTTCCGTTACAGTTTTTATTTATTTTTTTGTTTTGTTTTTCCCCCTTTTTTCACAAAGAAAAAAAAATATGGATATTTTTGTAATTACAGAGCCCTTTCCGTATTACGATAGTGCTGTGCCGTTACTTCTACTAACTGTAACATGAGGCATGTTGTTTAGTTTGAACACAGCTGCCACCTAGTGACCGGAGGTTTGTTTATCAGTTAACATGAGGAAAGTCTTGCCTCCTGCGCCCCCTGGTAGGAGGAGCATCCCACTATTTGAGAAACCCTGGCTTAATGTGCTCCCTGAGTACAAGGGGGATGAGAGAAAAGCAAATACTTTGAAGGAGTAATACTTTTAAAAGATGTTGTGTTTATATGACTTGCTTTGACAGGCTTTAAAATATATAGTGTAGCTACCAGAAGGTAGAGAAAGCAGGTTTTCTGTCAGTGTATTACAAACCTGGTGAGGCACCAGGTTTACTTATGCTGCCATCAGGTTAGGCATTGGTTTGTTTATTTATTATATTTTTTCATATCCTCTAGTAACAGTGATATCAGCCTTGTTTTAAACTGATACATTTTTTATCTGGAGAATTGCACCAATATTTTTTTGTACAATGTTTTATTGTCACAATAATAATGTTCTGTTCTGATATCAAAGATGGGTTGACTCAGGGGTCTCAAACTCCAGTCCTGAGGGGCCGCTGTCCTGCAATTGTTGTTTTTTTATGTTTGTTTTTAAGAGTTCATAGTCTATGTTTAGTTATTGTTATTGTCTTCAAATAAACACATAATTACCTAGTGATATTTTAAAATTTCCTGTGCACTTTGGACATTTCTTAACCTAAAAACACAGTAGGCCACTGGAGTGAGTGACCCTACCACTACCCAGCCAGCACACCTAGGTGGGCCCCATATGGGATATAAGTGGGCAGGCAATATGGGTCCCAAAAGGGTTTGTCCACGGTTTCCATGGTGGCCCCACATGGGTTTGCCCAAGTAGATTTTAATGGGTGCTGACTGGGTTTTCAGTGGGTCCCACATGGTTAACTCACATGAGGCCCATCTGTGGCCCACTAGGGTGCTGTCAAGAATATTTACGTGGGTCCCAATTGGGTCCGAACTGGGCTAGAATATGGGTACCAAGTGGGTTTGTCCACGGTTTCCATGGTGGCCCCACATGGGTTTGCCCAAGTAAATTTTTATGGGTGCTAACTGGGTTTTCAGTGGGGCCCATGTGGTTAACTCACATGAGGCCCATCTGTGGCCCACTAGGGTGCTGTCAGGAATATTTACCTGGGTCCCAATTGGGTCTGAACTGGGCTAGAATATGGGTACCAAGTGGGTTTGTCCACGGTTTCCATGGTGGCCCCACATGGGTTTGCCCAGGTTGATTTCAATGGGTGCTGACTGGGCTTTCAGTGGGTCCCACATGGTTAACTCACATGAGGCCCATCTGTGGCCCACTAGGGTGCTGTCAGGAATATTTACCTGGGTCCCAATTGGGTCTGAACTGGGCTAGAATATGGGTACCAAGTGGGTTTGTCCACGGTTTCCATGGTGGCCCCACATGGGTTTGCCCAAGTAAATTTTTATGGGTGCTGACTGGGTTTTCAGTGGGGCCCATGTGGTTAACTTACATGAGGCTCATCTGTGGCCCACTAGGGTGCTGTCAGGAATATTTACCTGGGTCCCAATTGGGTCTGAACTGGGCTAGAATATGGGTACCAAGTGGGTTTGTCCACGGTTTCCATGGTGGCCCCACATGGGTTTGCCCAAGTAGATTTTAATGGGTGCTGACTGGGTTTTCAGTGGGGCCCATGTGGTTAACTCACATGAGGCCCATCTGTGGCCCACTAGGGTGCTGTCAAGAATATTTACATGGGTCCCAATTGGGTCTGAACTGGGCTAGAATATGGGTAACAAGTGGGTTTGTCCACGGTTTCCATGGTGGCCCCACATGGGTTTGCCCAAGTAGATTTTAATGGGTGCTGACTGGGTTTTCAGTGGGGCCCATGTGGTTAACTCACATGAGGCCCATCTGTGGCCCACTAGGGTGCTGTCAGGAATATTTACATGGGTCCCAATTGGGTCTGAACTGGGCTAGAATATGGGTAACAAGTGGGTTTGTCCACGGTTTCCATGGTGGCCCCACATGGGTTTGCCCAAGTAGATTTTAATGGGTGCTGACTGGGTTTTCAGTGGGGCCCATGTGGTTAACTCACATGAGGCTCATCTGTGGCCCACTAGGGTGCTGTCAAGAATATTTACATGGGTCCCTATTGGGTCTGAACTGGGCTAGAATATGGGTACCAAGTGGGTTTGTCCACGGTTTCCATGGTGGCCCCACATGGGTTTGCCCAAGTAGATTTTTATGGGTGCTGACTGGGTTTTCAGTGGGTCCCACATGGTTAACTCACATGAGGCCCATCTGTGGCCCACTAGGGTGCTGTCAAGAATATTTACGTGGGTCCCTATTGGGTCTGAACTGGGCTAGAATATGGGTACCAAGTGGGTTTGTCCACGGTTTCCATGGTGGCCCCACATGGGTTTGCCCAGGTTGATTTCAATGGGTGCTGACTGGGCTTTCAGTGGGACCCAGATGCCTTAATCCTGTAGGAACAATTCTCATCTAACCTGGATGTGAATTACATTCATAGATATGCAATCTTGATCAACAATCCAAAGTCTAGCTTAAAACGTGTTCAAATAAAAAATAAAAAAAAGAGATGAAAAATTTATTTTGCTCAAGGCTTTTATTTAGTAATTTAAAATATTGTCAGGAGTTATTTTTTACCTCACTACAGCAATTATTAGAACTTCATTAATACTCAGGGAATGGTGCCACAAAAAGAAATCTGCAATTATTCACGACATCTTTGAAAATAACAGAAGCTAGTTTACTATAACAAACTTATAAACAGATCTATAAATATATATCTATAGATGCACACAAATAAAGACACCTACATATTTTCCTACAGGTCTATAAATGTATACATCTAAATACTATCTATATAACTTTATACACGTATATTCACATTGATACACACAATGTGAATATACACACCTATATAGATCTTTCACAATACATTTTTGTTAAACATTTTTAAAAATAACCTACATGCCATATGCATGCTTAAATTTGAAATCTCTCATACTTTACTGAAACTGTCCATCTTGAAAGACCTCCCCAACCTGAGTTTGAACTGGCAGTCTCTCTAGTCTATTTCCACTTCCACTCGGGCTCCAGTAAACCACTTCGAGAGTCTTTGCTGTATGCTTGTGTGATTCTGTAGATGGATAATTTCTTTTAAGTCCCCTGAAATAACAAGCAAAGGTAGAAATTGTATTAGTGTTTCATTTTAGCACAATGTAACATTCATGAGATTTGCATCTCCCCCTTCATGGGGCAAAAATGCTTGCAGAGATATGCCATAATCAAAAGGACTCTTGAGTCATCATTATTATGTACAGAAACTATATTCTTACTGTAAATTTAAAATATATCCATCTATATAAATCAACTACTAGGTTCTATCGTGGTTTTGTGGTTATTTTAATATTGTTTGAAATGCAAACAATATTACCTTCAAATTTGTAAGTTCTTAACAACAGTGAAAGAATACTGTTCAAATAAAACCAAAAATTGAAGACTCAATTTTTAACCTAAAAACATTACTAAAAATAACAAACAAAAGCATAAAACAACCAAAATAAATTAACATATGTTTAAGAAAGAAAAGTGAAAAAAAAAAGTTACTCTGACAATAAAAACTGATATTTACCATACAAAACATCAAAGAGACGCAGGTCCAAGAGCTTGTTTCCCATGTTGGCCAAAAAGGTTGAACTGGACTTCCAGTTCATGGGACATGAGGAATCGCACAGCTGGTTGTATTGTGTCATCTAAGGATGCTCCTCCAATTTCTGTAGCCATGGCAACCTTAAGTACAATGACAATAACAGGACAACATTTTGTTTTTGTTCATCAGTTTGTCATTATATCACTCTTATGTGCTTAATTTCACTAACATATTAATCTACCTTTTTCAAATCATTATAAAGTGATCTTCACACGCTGATCCTCTTGAAGCCTGCAAAAATATATATTTTATTAGTGCAATATAACATTTAGACTTTTCAAAAAAATAAAAAAATTAAGGCAAAACAGCCTTTGTATAGATTAACTACTGAAGCCTTATATTGTAAACACTGAACAGTTTTGCAATTATCCTAATTTCTTTGTTAACGTGACAGGACTAAGACAGTAGTATTACTCTTAAGAGAAGTTTAGAAAATCACTATAAATGTAACTAATAAAGCCTAAAACATTGCACATATAAAAAAATTAGAGCTACAATTAAATATAAGTACATTTCACATAACTGCTAGCTAAATATTGCAAAAATATCAAAAAGAATTTCTTCATCTTTCAATATTTGTTTCAGGCTTGGCCACTGATTGACATGATGGGTTTCAATTTACGGACCCACATGCAGTAACCACACGTTGGATAGGGATGAGTGAGTGATTTATTTACAACAGGACAAAATAAAATCTATTTCCCGGACATCAGCGGAAGGGTGAGGACCACTCGACCAGGTTGGCCTGAAACGAGAACTTAGTTATGACGGGCTTAGAATGAGTGATCGGAGGGGAAACAGGAACAGGCTTACTTCGGTGCGGGTCTTTCGAGGCGTGGGTGTGAGATGCCAGGTTCCTGAGAGAGGGTGTGCAGCGGTTCCGAAGGTAAATGCGAGGTGGGAATGGAAGAGAGCTGGAAGCTCGAAGGATGGAGTGGAGGCAGTGGAATCGGCGGAGCGAGCAGGCAGGTATTCACTGGTGAGTTCTCGAATGAGGCGACAAAACCCCTAGGATCGAACAAACACAGAGACCAGGTGACTTCTAGTAGACACAGAAACGTTCTCAGAAAACTGTTCACAACAGGAGAGGCCAGAGTGACTACCGGTGTATGCAACCATCTAGCATACACCAGTAGAATCTTCAGTCAATCTAGCGTAGACTGAAGATTCTGCTGCTCCTCCACCTGTGCCAAGCTCCACGGGCTCCTCGCTGAAATAAGATGCGACACTCACATACACACACAGGAACCCTGACACTGATGACTACTCTAGACCAACACAATAGCGGCAGATTGAAATAAACTATGACATAACAAAACGCTTTAAAGTGTCACACAACAATTAAAAAAAGAATTTAAAAATATGAACTACAATGCCTTCATCCTATTTACAAAAAACCTTTTAGGCCCAATATACTGAAACCACATGGGCCCCATATAGTGTTCCCATTTCTGTCCCATGCCCGGTTAGCCCACGTTAATGCTGAATTGGGCCCATACATTTAACCCAATTGAGCCAACAATATGAGTCCCATTTCGGTTAACCTTTTGAGCCTCACGCAGTTGACCCAGATAAAACCCATGCCCTCTTATCATTACCTATATAGCCCAAAGCTAAACGATTCAATGCAGTTTTATTGAAAAAAACGACAATAATAATCTTGCATGGGTCCCAGCCAAACCAGCCTGAATCCATACATGAGACCCACCCATGCATGCTGATGTGACTGTGAGAAAGATTATTAAAAGCCCAAGTACATAGAATGAAAGCACAATAGTTACTCTTTTTAAATCATACAAATGGTTTTATTGTGTCCAGACACTTTGTAACAACCTCTGCTAGCAACATAGATTCTTCAGTGAACCGATTTCATTCTGCCTCGTTGGCGCTCAAATGAACCAATGGCAGCTCAACAAATAGAATGGCGGCGGTATTTGAAAATGGTTTGGCCCACAACGCTGCGTTTGAAATCGGTCTGCACTAAAATCTGCTTATTGTGTGTAGCTGTGTGTGTTAGCAATATCAGAAAAAGTATCACCCTAAAGAAAAGCAAAAATAACAATAACAATTAAGTCTCTTTTGGGATACTGTCGTCCGATTTGTTACGAGCAACAATTTTTTTAACAAGCGATTTAAAATCTCTCCCTAAAATTTGGTACTAGGTAAAACAGAAGAAATGTACTTACAGATTCTTTCGTAGATCAGCCAACAGGCAGACTCCGCGCCAACGGACTGATGAAGAGAACAAGCTTGATTTTGAAACCGCATATCCATCCGCGGGTCATTTTACGTTTTCCAAGAAACACAAGATTAATTTTTGAGAGTGCTACATCGGTTTAACAAATGTAAAACCGATGTAGCAAAAGTTCTCAATGTAAATAAATACATTTCGTTGTCCTCCTTATTCAAATATGTTTTGGAACTATTTTCTTCAGTGGATGTGTAAAGTGCCTACCGGTACTTCAATTCACCAACCTTTATTGGCAACGGTGCCTCAGAGCAAACAATGAACAAAAAGGTAATTGGAACCAAATGAATCATTAACAGAAATGTTACGTTTTTTTATTTTTTATTTTTATTTATACTGATGACTTGGAAAATGTTTGCAAATATATGAAAAAACAGATGCTCAAAATTTTACTCTTGTCTCTCACTTGCTAATGAGTTTTGTTTATTTTCTAAACATTTTGTGATATTTTTCACAATGGTCTGATCTGAACTATTTGTCCAAATAAAAATTTAAATCTTGCTGCGAACAGGCTGCAGTAAACTCTATGGATGTCTAAACATCCAATGATAAAAAATAATAATAAAAATAAAATAAAAAGTTATTATTATTAAAAATAAAACAAGGACTAAAGCTCAACCATGACCACTCTGTGCTTAATTTTGAGTAAGCACCAGAATATGAGTTTACGTATATATTTCAAACAGATTATTTCAAAAAAATGTTTTAAGACATTCAGACTGCAATAATAAAATGAAAAAAAAGTTAGGGGTTCAAAGTGTAGCAAGAGCAATACTGAACTGGCTTTTGCTTTGACATACAGTGAAAAGTTTGAAAGTGACAGGGTAACCACATTGTCGATTAAAATGTTCTACAATTTTGTCCCATTTAGACCATGAAAAAAAGTACTAGGGGCTACATTTTCCTGCCCAGGTCCAACCCATGTATGGTTAGCCCATGCTCATGTCATGTTAGTTTAATGTGGACAGCCCACATTGGGCTTCTCATGTGGGGCCCATGATACTGAAACCACATGGGCCCCAAATAGTGTTGCCCATTTCTGTCCCATTTCCAGTTAGCCCACATTGTTGCTGAATAGGGCCCATACATTTAGCCCAAATGGGCCAGCCCATAGGGGTCCCATTTTAGTTAACCATATGTGTCCCATGAGGTTTGCCCAGATAAAACCCATGACCACTCATTACCCATATGGCCTACTACAAACCCAAGGGGGGCCCACTCATGCGTACTGGCTTGGAGACTGGACTGGACTGTTCTAGCATAAAATAATAACATGAAAAAATGTTAAGGGTTCAAAGTGTGGCTAGAGCAATACTGAACTGGTTTAAAAAAATAAAGCATTGTAGAATTATTTTTAATGTTTTAATATCCTGGTCCTCTGGAAGCCTATTGTTTGTAAATGAGCCAGGCATAGATATCACACAGTGAACATGTTTTAGGTTCAAACATTAGGAAGACATGGATGTTCTGTTCTATCAGCAAAATATATCCTTGGGTGATCTCCAAGACGAGGTCACCTTCGTCCTGGAGACCTCGACAATGGTCAAGGTCACCAACCTTTACTATCGTCGAGGTTTCCTACAAGAAAAAAATTAAATTCTACAATTTACCTTACATCAACTCCATTAGAGGCCAGCTGAGTAACAATTGCCTTGGCAAAGACTATAAAGCTGACATCTCGGGTAATTCTTTCCAAGTTTTGAGAATCTTGCTCTTGCAGCTTTTGCTTTGACATACAGTCAAAATTTTGAAAGTGACAGGTTAACTACAGGGGTTGGACAATGAAACTGAAACACCTGGTTTTAGACCACAATAACTTATTAGCGTGGTGTAGGGCCTCCTTTTGAGGCCAATACAGCATCAATTCGTCTTGGACAAGTATGGGGCCAAGGGAATGCCATGATATGGCAGCCCACACCATCAATGATCCACCCCATGCTTCACTCTGGCATACAACACTCTGGCTGGAATGCATCTTTGGGGCTTCTCCACACCGTAACTCTCCCGGATGTGGGGAAAACAGTAAAGGTAGACTCATCAGAGAACAATACATGTTTCACATTGTCCACAGCACAAGATTTTCGCTGCTTGCACCATTGAAACCGACGTTTGGCATTGATACGAGTGACCAAAAGTTTGGCTATAGCAGCCCGGCTGTGTATATTGACCATGTGGAGCTCCCGACGGACAGTTTTGGTGGAAACAGGAGAGTTGAGGTGCACATTTAATTCTACCGTGATTTGGGCACCGTGGTTTTATGTTTTTGGGATACAATCCAGGTTAGCACCCAAACATCTCTTTAAGACAGCTTCATCTTGCATCCACAGTTAATCCTGTTAGATGTGGTTTGTCATTCTTGGTGGTATGCTGACATTACCCTGGATACTGTGGCTCTTGATAATCACAAAGACTTGCTGTCTTGGTGAACAATTTGCCCTCTTTTGAACTCCAGTATGTCCCAAATAATGTTATGTGCATTGCAATATTTTGAGCAAAACTGTGCTCTTACCCTGCTAATTGGACCTTCACACTCTGCTCTTACTGTTGCAATGTGCAATTCATGAAGATTGGCCACCAGGCTAGTCCAATTCAGGCATGAAACCTCCCACACTAAAATGAGAGGTGTTTCAGTTTCATTGTCCAACCCCTGTACATTGTTCTACAATTTTGTCTCATTTAGCCCACTTAAAAAAGGACTGGGGTCTACATATCCACACCCAGGTCCAACCTGGGCGTGGATATGTACTGACCACACTGAACCCACAGTGGGTTCAGTGTGGTCAGCCCACATGGTCTCCCCATGTTGGGCCCATGACATGAGCCCATGCTGATGTCATGTGGGTTCAGTGTGGTCTGCCCACATGGTCTCCCCATGTTGGGCCCATGATACTGAAACCACATGGGCCCCACATAGTTTTGCCCAGTTCTATCCCATTCCCAGTTAGCCCACTTAAAAAAGGACTGGGGCCTACATATCCACACCCAGGTCTAACCCATATATGGTCAGCCCATGCTGATGTCATGTGGGTTCAATGTGGTCTGCCCACATGGGCTTCCCATGTTGGGCCCATGATACTGAAACCACATGGGCCCCATATACTGTTGCCCAGTACTATCCCATTCCCAGATAGCCCACTTAAAAAAGGACTGGGGCCCACATATCCACACCCAGGTCTAACCCATATATGGTCAGCGCATGCTGATGTCATGTGGGTTCAATGTGGTCAGCCCACATGGGCTTCCCATGTTGGGCCCATGATACTGAAACCACATGGGCCCCATATACTGTTGCCCAGTACTATCCCATTCCCAGATAGCCCACTTAAAAAAGGACTGGGGCCTACATATCCACACCCAGGTCTAACCCATATATGGTCAGCCCATGCTGATGTCATGTGGGTTCAGTGTGGTCAGCCCACATGGTCTCCCCATGTTGGGCCCATGATACTGAAACCACATGGGCCCCATATACTGTTGCCCAGTACTATCCCATTCCCAGATAGCCCACTTAAAAAAGGACTGGGGCCCACATATCCACACCCAGGTCTAACCCATATATGGTCAGCGCATGCTGATGTCATGTGGGTTCAATGTGGTCTGCCCACATGGGCTTCCCATGTTGGGCCCATGATACTGAAACCACATGGGCCCCATATACTGTTGCCCAGTACTATCCCATTCCCAGATAGCCCACTTAAAAAAGGACTGGGGCCCACATATCCACACCCAGGTCTAACCCATATATGGTCAGCGCATGCTGATGTCATGTGGGTTCAATGTGGTCTGCCCACATGGGCTTCCCATGTTGGGCCCATGATACTAGAACCACATGGGCCCCACATAGTTTTGCCCAGTTCTATCCCATTCCCAGTTAGCCCACTTAAAAAAGGACTGGGGCCTACATATCCACACCCAGGTCTAACCCATAGATGGTCAGCCCATGCTGATGTCATGTGGGTTCAATGTGGTCTGCCCACATGGGCTTCCCATGTTGGGCCCATGATACTGAAACCACATGGGCCCCATATACTGTTGCCCAGTACTATCCCATTCCCAGATAGCCCACTTAAAAAAGGACTGGGGCCCACATATCCACACCCAGGTCTAACCCATATATGGTCAGCCCATGTTGATGTCATGTGGGTTCAATGTGGTCAGCCCACATGGGCTTCCCATGTTGGGCCCATGATACTAGAACCACATGGGCCCCACATACTGTTGCCCAGTACTATCCCATTCCCAGATAGCCCACTTAAAAAAGGACTGGGGCCCACATATCCACACCCAGGTCTAACCCATATATGGTCAGCCCATGCTGATGTCATGTGGGTTCAATGTGGTCTGCCCACATGGGCTTCCCATGTTGGGCCCATGATACTGAAACCACATGGCCCCCATATACTGTTGCCCAGTACTATCCCATTCCCAGATAGCCCACTTAAAAAAGGACTGGGGCCTACATATCCACACCCAGGTCTAACCCATATATGGTCAGCCCATGCTGATGTCATGTGGGTTCAATGTGGTCAGCCCACATGGGCTTCCCATGTTGGGCCCATGATACTAGAACCACATGGGCCCCACATACTGTTGCCCAGTACTATCCCATTCCCAGATAGCCCACTTAAAAAAGGACTGGGGCCCACATATCCACACCCAGGTCTAACCCATATATGGTCAGCCCATGCTGATGTCATGTGGGTTCAATGTGGTCAGCCCACATGGGCTTCCCATGTTGGGCCCATGATACTAGAACCACATGGGCCCCACATACTGTTGCCCAGTACTATCCCATTCCCAGATAGCCCACTTAAAAAAGGACTGGGGCCCACATATCCACACCCAGGTCTAACCCATATATGGTCAGCCCATGCTGATGTCATGTGGGTTCAATGTGGTCAGCCCACATGGGCTTCCCATGTTGGGCCCATGATACTAGAACCACATGGGCCCCACATACTGTTGCCCAGTACTATCCCATTCCCAGATAGCCCACTTAAAAAAGGACTGGGGCCCACATATCCACACCCAGGTCTAACCCATATATGGTCAGCCCATGCTGATGTCATGTGGGTTCAATGTGGTCAGCCCACATGGGCTTCCCATGTTGGGCCCATGATACTAGAACCACATGGGCCCCACATACTGTTGCCCAGTACTATCCCATTCCCAGATAGCCCACTTAAAAAAGGACTGGGGCCCACATATCCACACCCAGGTCTAACCCATATATGGTCAGCCCATGCTGATGTCATGTGGGTTCAATGTGGTCAGCCCACATGGGCTTCCCATGTTGGGCCCATGATACTAGAACCACATGGGCCCCACATACTGTTGCCCAGTATCCCATTCCCAGATAGCCCACTTAAAAAAGGACTGGGGCCCACATATCCACACCCAGGTCTAACCCATATATGGTCAGCCCATGCTGATGTCATGTGGGTTCAATGTGGTCAGCCCACATGGGCTTCCCATGTTGGGCCCATGATACTGAAACCACATGGGCCCCATATACTGTTGCCCAGTA